CTTGCTTATGCACTCTCGCACTTATGAAAGAATTGCGCGTGTTGCCCTTCACAAGGACTAAGTACCTGAGAGTAGAAAAACAATGTGCGATCCATCTAACATCCACATTCCATCTTCATTATTATGAAGTCAGGGCACTCCTAGTTTACATGTCATAGGCCTTTTTGTGGGGTCCAACTTGCACAAAATGCCATTACTTCTTTTTTCTAGAATCAAACACTTCATTAGCCATCAATAGTCAATACTGCATTTAGTGTTTATCTTCCCTCCTCAATTATTTTGTGATGTGGATATGGTTTTGTCCTAGACCTCTTAAGTTCTTCTAAAATGCTTGTCAGTGGAGCCTTTGATGTGCAGACAGTAATCTGTCCCCTCATCCCAAAAGCTGAACAAATTATAACTTAAAATATTACCCTGCTTTAGATTTGAGAGATTATTTCATTTCCGTCTCTCTCTCTCTCTCTTGCGCTCTCTATTTCTTTTCCATTCTTATCTCTCCGCGAGTCTCTAATTGAGCTTCTGTGTCTCTCTTTCTTCTCATTCCATCTGATGTTATTTTTTCTTATGTTTGTCTCTTCCTTCACGATTAAGTTTTAAGTACTCTTAATTTCTTGTTGACTAATTGATGTTGACATAGTTAAATGATCGATAACTATGTGCTCACGAAAAAGTAGTTTTTGAGTGCTGATCAAATGACAGTGTAGTTTACCTGTTTTAAGAAATGACAATAAGTTTGCTTATAATTACTGCATGTTTTAGCAGACCACAGAGGATATGGACGATTATGAGGTGGAGCAGAAGGCTGGATATGGTTTCTATTCAGACGACATGTACCCTGGTGAAGATGGTCAGCTCACCTGGTTCAACGCAGGAGTGAGGGTTGGTGTTGGGATAGGCCTCGGCATGTGCGTTGGTGTTGGAATTGGGGTGGGACTACTTATGCGTTCATATCAGGCAACCACTAGGAATCTGCGGAGGAGGTTTTTCTAGGCTTCTAACTTTCAGTCATAGTGAAATGGACTTCTTGACTGGATTCTAACTACTGGAAAAAGGACTTTATGGTCATTAAAGTAGGTCTCATCTTAGTGGCAGCAGGCAAAGGGAGACCCCTAGTGCTGCAGCTGAAGAGTGGTTACGTATTAGGTGGTGTGAGGCTGTAACGCAATTCAGTATCCTTGTACAGAAGCTGCAGACGACGTTCATCCAAGGATCATCTGTGTTGAGATTATACAAAAGCCCCCAGGCTGAAAATCGGTGTTAGTGTGTTCATATGCTGTATTTAAACTGAATATCTCGTATACATGTCCTTTTTTTCTTCTTTTTTTCTTTCGGGTTGGTTTAAACTCATCAGCTTTGCTGTTGGTGTGTGCTGAAGTTTGTTATTAAGGTTAGCTTTAGAGAGTTGACAATGCGGCCGACAATTTTGGTAGTTGCAATAGGTGCTTCGGCGTAACAAATTTAGTTTGTAAAAGTACTCGGCAAATTGTTTCTATAACAGCTTGTTTTGGAGGGTTGTAGCATATTGTTGTACAGATGTATCGTGTTGTATTGCATTGTATTACTTTGATAAATGCTTTGTTTATTAGGTTGCGTCATTTTTTTGTGGTTAGATATAGTGACCCATCAGCAATTTCAAGAACTCATAGGTGACGAGGAAAGGAAATGAGAAAATAAGGTAATGGTGTGAGATTTTTTTTATGATTACACAATGAATTGATTTTATCATATGCTCTTGTTTTTGTTAAATCTTCATTTTAGATGGTTGAATAGACAGTTTTTTTTTCTTTTTCAAATTAAGACGTTCTTTCATAGAATAGGAAAAACAACAAGGCAAGTTATAGTCACCCAATTAATGAATTTATGTTAGATAAAGAAAAATCACATTTTTCTAATACAATAAATTGTTAAAAGATATACTATTCAATTGAAAGTTATGGACTATCATCAATACGATTATAAAATCGCTTACCTAGTAATACATGCGAGTTTTAAAAGAAATGAAATATTCAATTTTATATTTGAATCCTACCAATAAAGATGAATCCTTTTCTAGAATCCCAACGAAGAACAGTTTAAATATGATTTGATTGACGTGAAGACTTTTGAAATATATTTTGTTAAAACATTTCATCTTTTGTGAACTTCTTCTCCATTGATTCAGAGTAGAGCAAGCAACTTCGCTGGCGATTCTTCTGCTTCCTTTGTTTGGGTAAGTCCTTTTCACTTCACTTCATTTTCAATTTTCTAGTCTTGACGTATTTGATAAAGCTGTGATACATGACCATACGATCACCAGTTCTAAGAACAGTCTTTTGCGGAAATTCGGGTAAGTTTGTGTATAATATAGCCTTGTAGTGCGGTTTTTCTCGAACCTTAGTGCACGGGACTGACTGACATTTAGTATTTACAGAAAAAAATCGCATTCATATGTTAACCTCTTCAGATTTTCAGAAGAAAACTCTAAAATATTGTTTCCCAATGATTTTCATAAGATATAATATGAATTTTTAATTGTGAATTTGGTGTGCAGTATGTTGTATCTTCTCATTTAGTAGAAAATGACTCAACTTCTTAATGATGTAATTCTTTTGCTTCTACTTGATTGGTAATGTATCTGCTTTCCATGTGATAATGTCTTGTGAGTTCTGGTGATTTTGTATCGATAGGTTACCACTCAATATTCTGAACATTTCTATTAATTTTTTTTGAACAAAGATAATGTTGTATTCATCAGCATTAAGGATATGCTGGAGACCTCCAAAAATTGATTTCCAACAAGAAGAAAAAAAAGAGAGGCTAAAGATTACAAAGAACCTATAAAATTCAAAATTTGTGCAACTTCTTCTATCCATTCCTCTTTACGCCAAAAATAAAAAGTAGTCAAGTACTTCCATTTGACTTTCTCTATTGAATTTGCTTTGTTATCATGACATCTGTTATTTCTTTCTTTCCAAATACACCACCAAATGCATGATGATATTATACTCCACCACTTTTTCTTAGATTTTCTACCTCCTCTGCTGATCCAACAACTAAGTAGATCTGATGTATGTTCAGGCATAGTCCATATGCATGTATTAGTCCCAAAAATAGGTTTCACAATTGTGTTGTCACTTTGCAATGGAGGAACAAAAGGTTGTTGGTTTCCTCAGTCTCATTAAAGAGAGAGCACCAAGAGGCAATATAGAAATCCCTCCTTTTCAATTTCTCATTAGTGGAGCATGCTCTTGTGGTAACCAACCAAGAGAAACACTTTACCTTGGTTGAAACCTTGCTCCTCCAAATCTGCTTCCAAGGACCAAGCTTGCCACCAGGGTGCTCCTTCACCGCCTTAATATATAGCTTGTTAACAAAAAGTCTTTCATCTCTAGAGTGTTTCCATCTAATAGAATCTTTGTCTGCAAATAACCCATTAAAACCACGAAGAACATGTAATAGCTCAGCCACTCTTCCAATCTCCTAGTCATTTAAGTGCCTTCTAAACACAATATTCCAACCCTGAATAGACCATACCTCAAACACTGTTTCTTCCGGATTGGTACACAAGGAGAATAGGTCATGAAATAAGACCATCAGTGCCTCATTTCCATTCCAATTCTCTTTCCAAAATCGGATTTTCGTCCCATTTCCCACCTTGTAGACTATGTTTCTACTTAGATCAGGCCACAAATTTCTTATTTTTCTCCAAGCTGACACCTTATAAGTGCTATTCACAGAGTTGGAGACCCAATTTCCATTCAACCCGTACTTGTTGACTATCACCTCCCTCCACAGTGCCTCTTCCTCATTGTTGAACCTCCATAGCCATTTTGACAAGAGACTTCTAATCTGCAACCTCAAGTTTTTGATTCTAAGTCCACCAGATTGTTTACGTAACTGTGCAGTCTGCCGCTTGACTAAATGCAAATCCTTCCCTTCTTTATTCCCTTTCCGCAAGAAATCTCTTCTCAGTTTGTCAAGTCTTTCTTCCACTTTAGCAGGCATAGGGAATAAAGACATAACATAAGTTGGAAGAGAGTCCAACACAGAGTTTATTAAAGTGAATCTCCCTCCCAAAGAGATATACTGAGCTTTCCAATTGGCCAATTTCTTCTCTGTCTTTTCAATTATGTTGTCCCAAATTTCTAGCTCATTGTGATTGTGCCCCAAAGGCATGACCAAGTAAGTAGTGGGAAGATGATCTACTTTATACCCCAATATCCTCGCTAGGCTCTAAAGTTGAGGGACTTCTTTAATTGGAAACATGCTTCTTTTCCTCCAATTTATTGATTAACCTGAGACTGCTTCGAAAACCACCAAAGTCATTCTTATAAAGGCGACCTGTTCCGCCTTGGCTTCACTGAAAATAATTGTGTCATCTGCATAAAGCAGATGGCAAATCTGCATTTCCCTTCCTGAAGAATTGCGGACCTTGAAGCCTTGTAACCAATTGTTTTGGGTAGCTACTCTCATCATTCTATTATAGCCCTTCATGGCTAGGATGAAAAGGAAAGGAGAGAGTGAGGCTCCCTGCCTTATCCAAGTGATCTTAACATTTCAAATTTAACCAGTTGTAATCAATTGAAGCTTGTTTTTTAAAATCCAGGTCTGTCAAGTAATACTAGGATGTATCATAACTTCATTAATGATGCTTATAATAACTAATATGGAGTAATCTTTTGTCCTCTATCTTGGTCCTCTCATTATGTCCAATTTCTAGAAGGGTAACTCTTCACCCACTTTTTTCAATAACTTTTGAGTTCTGTATTGTCAAAAGTATATCATGAAACTCACTGATATATCAAAGAAAAACTTCAGATTTCGTCAAAATAATGCTCCTTACATTTAAAAAGGATGACCTAGTTTGACTTGGAACGGAGTTTAAAAAAAAAGGAACTTTTTAATCTTGTGGTTCTAAATTAAAGTTATGCCAAATGTACCAAAGTGCCCTTTAATCTTGTGATTTTATACATGCCACGTGGAAAGTCAAAGTTAAATTATTGCCAAAAAAAGAAAGGGGTCATTCTCTTGAAACAAACTAAAAAGGAAATAGGGACATCCTTTTTTGACGACAAGGAAAATCCGCAGCCGCTACCCTTTTGGGCGCGCCTTGAAACGGAGGGAGTAACTTTATTTAGACTTTTAGACTAACATCTATTTGAAATGCAACAAAATTTTAGTGCCAAAATCAAGGGGACAAATTAATCGGAAATCTAACAATTAGATACTACAACATACCCAGTGTAATCCCAAAAGTGGGGTTGGGATAGGGTAGAGTGTAGGGAGACCTTATCCCTATCTCGTAGAGAGAGGGAGGTTGTTTAGTGTGCTCATTAGATGAACTGGGCAAAATAAACTGGCAAACAGTTACATGCATATCAAGATCTATGTTTATGCATATGGGCATTTGTCGAGGAAGTGCTATGTTTTTTCACTCTGACTTGCATTGCAGCTTTGAGCAAAATCGATCTGAGAACTCCCAAATTGATGCCCTTTGTGCATTCGATGATAATTTTTTTTGCCCGTTTGTGACTAATTTTGTGCTTTATTTTTTGATCCCACGGGGATCTGATGCTCCTTGAGTTTGCATATGTTTGAGATATATGCATTTTACCTTTTGATATCAATAAATCACTCCACTAGGTCTTAATTCCAAAGCTGGGACAGTTAGAGGAATCATTTATATCCATTTTGGACCAATGTTGTAAGTTTTGGTAGAGGACGTAAAATAGGGAGGGGTGAAAGATGTGGGAGTTTTGGTTGACTAGCATTGCTCTATCAGTCGATTAGATGTATTTCTGTTTTATATATCCATAGATGCTTTGGCCCTGAAATACAGAATAAAAGTTAGGCTTACGAAGAAACCATTGAAGATTTTGCTACCCTTGAAGGGTTTGTCAGCCTTGCTTCTGTTGCATATGTAATAACCCAGTTCTTCGTAAATCATTTATCAGATAAATATTGTATCCACAAAATTTTTAACTTACAGAAGCAATGTGGTCAGACTACATTAGTGTAACATGGTTACTGAACCTAGTTACAAAATACAAAGATGAAAATCATCAATTACATACTTTAACCCTTCACTGATTCTTTAGTTGGCAATATTGTAGTTAAAGCATGAGAAGTTGACTTATTTACTTTTTTTGTGGTTATGAATTAAGATTTTGAGTTGTTTTGTAATTTGAGCAATGCATTGGGAAAATGTCTTTCTGTAGTTTCTCAACTTCTAATATCACATGAAGTCATGAACAGAACAATTTTCCAAAAAAATGAACATTTGGGATTTTCACATATCAAAAGAAAAGAAAAGTACATTTGGCTTTTTAAAGTATTGAATTCATGAATCATTTCCTGGGCAAACCTTTACTAGAAAATCAATGAGATTTTATGAGGCATCTTATTCATGTATTTCCTTTCAAGAAGTTCAAAGTTATGTTGTTTCTAAATATAAAAAGTGTCATTGTTCTGGAAACGTGCTTAAAAAGAAGATGTGAAAAAAGAGTGAACAACCGGTATTAAATAATTTGTTTCTTTAGGGATCGTTTGATCGGGTGTATAAGAATAGTGTTGAATATGGTGTATTAGTAATGCTTTTATAGTTATGCTTGCATTAGTTATGATGTGATTATTTCTTATGCAGTGTTTGGTTTGGTGTATTATAAATAATATGCATCGCATAATTTCTAAAGTATCCTTCACAAATATGGTGGAGAGGATGTGAAAAATGGTTTGAGGGACCATTGTGTCTTTAATTATGCTAAAGAGTGTATTAGTTATACATACCTTAATACCAAATAGAGTATATAATTAATGCTTGCATTAGTTATACATAGGTTGAAAAAGTATACCAAACAAGGTACTAGTAATACACAAAGCTAATAAATGCATTATTTCTTCTAATGCACTTTACCAAAGGACCTCTTAGTGAATATACATTTATTGATAGAATCTACAATAGGGGACAAGATAGAGAGAGAGAGACGAGAAGTGGCTGGTGAGATAATATTAACAAATTTGTGTGATATTTCAAAATTTCCAAGTAAAAATGAAATATTTAATATCACAATTTCCAAGTAAAAAATGAAATATTTATCTATTTCAAACAACCATAAATGCATGTAGAAAATAAAAGAGCAAAGGTGGGGGTTGGATACTTAAACTCTCAACAACATTCCTATATCAGTCTATAAATAAATGTGGGATTACGACAGGACATAGGATAGAGAACATTGTTCGTTCTGATGTCGCAGTCGGTGGAAGAGCAGTCATCTGACAGTGTTTCTGGCCGCCGATGCGCAATATGTTTCGCCACTCGCCCCTTCATCCTCCACCTTCTCTTCTACAGAGGTCTCCAACAACATCTTTGCACCTCCTGTGTACTAGACTCCCACCCTGGTTCTTTCTGTCCCACCTGTTTCGAAGTCTTCCTTCACAACTCTCCTCCCCCTCATCTCCTTGCCCTATGCAAAAAATGCCCTTCTATCTCACACCTCTCTTGCGTCCCTGATGTTGCTTTTGCCTCCAATGATTACTCGTGCCCTCCTTGTTCTAACCCTAATTTCACTTTCTTCTGTGTTACTCCCAATCGTGCTAATAATGCCATTGAAATTAACCTCCATTTGGCTAAACAGTTGGTTGCCGCTGCTACAATTGCTACTGAGTCGATCCGCAATGCTGCCGTTATGGCAAGGTATAATGCAGAGATTAGGGTCAAGGAAGCTTTGGTAGCTAAAGCTGAAGCTGCTGAAGTTTTGAAAAGGTTCAATAATCTTTTGAACAACCATGGTCATCAGTTTGGTAATGATGCGGGGGGGAGCAAGATACATGAAGAAGAAGGATGCTCCTCTCGATTTCCAAATGCAGATGATGATACCTTTGTTGATTAGCTTAATTAGTTATCTCTGGATGCAGATGATTATACCCTTGTTGATTAGCTTAATTAGTTACAATTCTAAATCAATGTTAAGGTTTTTCTTGTTCTTTTTATGTTATGTAGCTGCTGGTATCTTGCAACTTCACTCTATTTTGAATGCTTGTCTATTTCAAGGGTTGCTTTTGGCTAATAAAGGAATTTGAATTATTCAATCAACTGTATCTAGCTTCTTGTTTATGCCTTTCTTTCATTTTACATTTTGCCTATATGAGTTCCATTAGTTGCCATGTTTTGTTCACTGTTGTTTTTCCTATTCATTACTAATTTGTTTTGCTTCACTTGAGCCCCGAGGGTCTTTCAGAAACAACTTCTCTACCTCCATGAGGTAGGGGTAAGGTGTGCGTACAATGTACCCTCTCTAGACCCCACTTTGTGGGATTTCATTAGGTATGTCGTTGTTGTTTACCTGGCAATTGCAACTATAAACTAGGTCAATAGAAGTTTTGCGAGTGATGGGGGATGTCAAAGACCAAATAGATGGAGCAGAATATTCAATGCCATCTTTCAAACAGGAAGTTGCGTTCACATTAAGGTTTTTCCTTATTGTTTAATATTTAAATTGTAATGCAGAGCTTTGCATGTATATTTGCTATTTTGTTATTACAGGAGGGAGTTGTTAAAATTAAATATGGAGGAATCATGCCAAAGAAACCACCTTTAATCTTTGAGGTAGTCGACCAAGTGGCATTACCATGTGCTACATTGCTTGTGCTTGGAATGTCCGAGTGTTTGGTCAAGTTCTCTCTGTTTTAAGTAACCCATATTTGCTGTTAGGATCATGTGTGTGCTTATTTTGATTCTGCTGATTGGGATCTTGGAAAGGTAGTGGTCCACTTTATAGTCTCACAATTTTGTTAAGTTGATGCTTATATTATGGTTATCACGTAACCCTTAATATGGTTCATGATCACAACAAGGCATAGAGAAGCCCAAAGGGCCACTTGAGGCACTTCGGCCAAAGTTGCTGGTATTACATCAATTTCGTTCCATCTCTTTTCGCCTAGAGTTGTTTTTGATAACCATTCTTTGGTCATTCTGCTGCAAATTTGAACCCTTAAAGTACATTGTTTGATAGGTTGTTTTTTCTTGTGAGTTGGTCAATGCTAAAAGACATTAATTCCTCGGTTAAAGCAATGAAGTAATGACATTGTCTCCTGAAATTAATGTTCCAGTACTTGTTTACTGAGGCATTTGGATTAAATACTAGTAGCAAATTCAAATATCATTTGGAAATCTTCTTTTAAAGTCCTGATGCCATTCCATTTTGTCTAGCCAAAAGAAGGCCTTGTCTCCATTCCCTACCTGTACCCTCACGTTATGATACTCTTCTTGTCCAAGATTCGTAGTGCTCGATGCAGCCACAAGAGAAAGACAATCTTTGAATTTCCTATTGTAAAAATCATTCAGATAAAAAATTTGCTATAGCATGCAGGAACACATTGTATGTGAGTATTTTACTGCAAAAAGTAAAGAAAAGAACATTTAGTTTTAGATAGTAATGCATGGCAAAACAATTGTTTCTTTTAAAACACAGATAGAAAAACACGGATAGAAGTAGTATAATTTATTAAAGACAGAATTTTTTGGGGGCAAAAGTGGTGCAGAAGCTTGAAGCTTATGTATGACTGGATGAATACACAATATTGTATAGGGTTTCATGCCAAAGGGAATTATCTGTTCAATATGTTAGGGGGACACAAGGGGATGAAACTTGTTGGTATTGGAGGTTTAGGGGAATTTCTAGGACTGGAAGGTGACCGAGTTTCCGAGATTGCTAAATTTACTCCAAAAGTAATGTGAGTCAATTGACAGACCTGATGCTTTGAGTAGGAGTTGGGGAATGACCAAGTGTTTTCTGTCAAGTTCCTCTATGAGAAGCTTTTGGTGCATGTGGAGGATATTGTTTCATATAGTGTAGTATGGATACCAAAGGTGCTGAAGAAGATTTGCTTCTTCACGTGGTTAACTACTAGGGGGTGATTTTGACGGTAGATAACCTTAGGAATTGAAATGTTGGCTTTCCTCTGTAAGGAGACTGGTTAGGATATGCATCATAGTTTGTTACTTTGCAAATTAGTCATGAGGTTATGGGAGGATATGTTTACATGGTGTGGCATCACTTGGGTAATTCCTAAATATGCGAAGGAATTGATGTTTAGTTGAAAGAATGGATCTAGGAGAAGAATGCACAAGACAAGGAATGTCACTCCTCTAGCTCTTACCATCTGGACAGGGAGGAATATGAGAGCTTCTGAAGGAGTGGAGATGAACTCTGTTCAATTTAGGAGTAGTCTCCTATCCCTTATTTTCTTTTAGTGCATATAGAGGATTGGGTGTGTTTTGGAGAGAATTATATTCTGCAGGTATCTCTTTTTTGGTATATCTCTTGAATACGACCAAGCGACCTTTTATTATAAATGAAAACCTAAAATGATTTTTTTAAAAAAGACAAGGAAAAACCTCTTTAAAGGATTTTAATACGTTTGTAGAAGCAATAGATTATGCTAGAAGAATTTTTAGTGTCAAATTTCTGCATGCCTTGTAAAGTCCCTGAATCAAGACATTGAAATACATAATTCTTTTTTTTGAAACAGGTAAGATTGTATTTTTCAGCATTAAGGGCATGCTGGTCTCCACCAAAAAATGTCTGTTGCAAGATTCCTATCAAATCTACAATCTGGTCTGTATCTACTATACACAACTGTTTACACCAAAAAAGTAAGGATACTATACAATTCCATTTGACCTTGTGAACAGAATTGGATCTAATTCTAAAACATCTACCATCCTTTCCTTCCAAACTGACCACCATATACATGATGGTATTAACCCCCACCATCTCTTTTAGCTTTTGCTGCCTCCTCTCCTTACCCATCTCTTCAGCAACTCTGATGTATGTTCTGGCATTGTCCAATTTAGATTTGAAATGTAAAGAAATAAATTCCAGACTTGCTTAGTAAAGTTACAGTGCAAGAAAAGGTGATTGTTTGTTTCTCTTGTCAAATTGCACAAAGAGCATCTGGGAGCCATTTGTCTACCCTTCTTTGTTTGTTTCTCCTGTCAAATTGCACAAAAAGCATCTCGGAACAAGCCCTCTTTATCACTATCCAGGTGAAACATTTCACTTTTGTAGGAATGTTCCCCTTCCAAAAATAGTTCCATTGATGGTTTTCATCTCCTGCCATCAGTTGGAGACCTCTTCTGTAGGCACTTCTAACTGTAAAGACCATTATTTTTGTGTCTCCATAGCATCCTGTCTGCGGCATTTGTGTCTATTCTCGTTTCACCTAACTTCCCTAGTAACTCTGCAACCCTTTCCACCTCTCAATCATTGAGAAATCTTCTAAAAACTAAATTCAATCCCTTTTCTATCCAACAGTCATTTACATTAGCATCAATACTCTCACAAATTTGAAAGAGATCTTGGAAGAGATCGCTAAGGGAGGATTGTTCTATCCAAATATCCTTCCAAAATCTAGTTTTATTGCCATTTCCCACCTTGATAAACAAATCTACTTCCATTTAGGGCCACAAGTTTCTGATTGTTCTCCATACACTCACACCATAAGGTTCAAGTGTGTTCTCTGTACACCAAGGGCTTAATTCAACATACTTAGCTTTAATCACCTCTTTCCAGAGAGCACTTCCCTCCCCAATGTACCTCCAAAAAACTTTTTTTAGCAGACTTTCATTTTGCAATCTCAAGTTTCTAATTCCCAACCCCCTCTCTATCTTTGCTAAGGACATTGGAATACATAATTCAAGTATGTAAGTTTGAACTAGTACAGACTCTGCTTGTCCATATCTTTAAAAAATGGATGTGATGAGGTGGGTCTTTATTCCCTCGTGAATACAATCAGTTTTACTATATCAGGATTAGATGTTAGTCTTGTACTAACAGTAGGTGATATGGACATCAAATTTGTTAATGGTTGACATGTTGCTGAAAACTATATATCAAACTCCTAAAGCCAAAGACCAACTCAAGGAGAGCCATTGAGAGGAGACACATAATTTTGAGAAAATGAAAAATAAATTAAACAGACATTGAAATTTCTTTTTTGACAATGGATAAACATGTGGAGCAAGTAGAACGGCAGAAAGAAAGAGCAACCCCACAAAATTCAGATGATTTAGTGACTTTGCACAACTTAGACACGCGAATAAAGTAATGAGTAGGTGAGTAGGTGTCTGGTTGGCAGATTCTGCGGTGGTGATGGAGTACCCACTCAATGTATGTTAGGAGGTGGGCTCAACAAATTTAGAAGGGCATCCCAAACACTCAGGTATACGGCATGGTCCAATTCCTATTTGAGTTCCAGTCAAAGAATTAGGCAGAACATACTCTTATGGGAGAATGGTGGAGTCGCAGGGTAAAACTGAAGCTAGACTGGTGATTGCTGACCATAGAGTCCTCCCAAAAGACACAAGGTTTGATTGGTTTTGGGTTGGAATTCTAGGTCTTCCACTTCAGCTATGGAGCAAAGAGGTTATGAAGATGATAGGTAGAGTATGTGGGGGTTTGTTGGAGAATGAAGAAGAAAAAAAATTGAAAAATCATTTAAAATGGGCTCGTATTACGGTTAGAGGTCCCAAAGAAAAGATCCCTTCATTGATCGTTTCTGACGGCGGTCTCATCTGCAAACTTTCAGTATGGGTTGAAGCGCCAGTGACCTACAGGAGAAAAGAGGTAGATGATAGTCCTTCTCGAGGTGTCAGTATTGCAGCAAAGATAGAAAAGGCTAACATTGTTGTATTGGGGAGGTCAAACTTGAGTTTATATGGAAAGGGGAAAGATACGAAGAAGAATTTGCAAAGTGATGATAATTGGGAGTTGATTGTTTCCGCACTGGGGAGGAAGACTAAACCATCCCCATTGTGGTCTATGCTGACAGAGACCTTCACAAATTGATGATAGCCTAGATATAGCACACATACTTGAAAAGCAAACTTATTGGCTCAATAAAATATGATCAAACTGGGTAAACAATTTGGAGCCAGTTTCAAGAGGTGTGACAAAGAGTTTCTATTTGCTTATGAAATTAGATCGAAGGAGAGAAAAGGAGTTGAAACGGATTAAGCATAATACCAACGACAACAATTCTGCAATTTTAGAAGAGGCTAGGAACTTGCTCTTTTATATGAAACTGAAGGAGGGGAGACCTAGGTCCAAAGGAAGAAATCTAAAACTTCCAACAATGAAAGCAAAATGGATCTCTTGAAATGTTAGGGGGATTAATGTTTAGTGTAAACGGGATATTGTCAAAAATCTAATTCACCAATGGAGGGCACGTGTCTAGACTAAGATAGAAAGGCCAGTAGATAGTATCTTGCAAAGCATTTGGAATAACAAATGAGTTGAGGAAATGCGTGTGGAATTTTGATTCTTTGTATAAAAGAGCGGATTTATGAATTGATGGAGAGTGACTCTAGTGTATTGCAAGCAAATTCCACGGGTTAATGAAGATCTTACTTGAATCATCTATTCATTATATGCTGATTACAATAGAGAGATAAGAAGAGTATAATGGGTTGAGTTGACTGCTGTTAGAAGCTCTCTCAATGGGCCTTGGGTTGTCTACAGGGACATTGTCATCAAGTATCACATAGAAAGAGCACATTGTTATAGAAGTAATGGGGAAATGGCAGGATTTTCATCCTGTAGTGAATATCTTGAACTGTTAGACCCTCTTTTATTTGGAGGGTCTTTTACTTGGAGAAGAGGCGACAACCACGGAATTGCTTCCAGGATAGAAAGGTTTCTTCATTGTGCATAGTGGGAGGAAAATTTTCTACACATCAAGCAAAGCTTACTACCAAAAACTCGGGTTAGATCATAACCCAATCTTGCAAACTTATGGAGATTGAGAGCTGGAAAAAATCATTAAATTTGAAACATGGTAGATAGAAGTTGAGGGATTCAGGAGAGTTCTACTGGGTAGTGGGGATAATTCTATGTAAAGGGAAGGCCTGGCTATGTTTTGGCTGAAAAAATAAAAAAGCTAAAATGGACGTTGAACGAGTGGAGTAAGAACAATAGAGGGAACTTGAAATAGAGAATGGAGGATATTCTAAACCAAATTCTCTATCTGGGAAGCAATTCAAGAACACAGAAATCTCTCTAATGATGAACTAGTCTAGAAGACACACTTAAATTATGGAATTCGAGCAAGTGGCAAAGAATGAAAAGAGATCCTAGAAATAGAGATTTACGGTACAACGATTGAATCATGGAGACACGCATGCCAAATATAAACATATAATTATTGCAGTTCATAATTATGGATTTTAATTGCATAACAGTCTAATCATCTCAAATGAAGAAAGGATCTAGTTGCAGAGACCATTTGAAAAGGAGGAGATTTTAGACTGTATCAAACTCTATTCTATGGAGCAGGCCCCTGTCCAAATGGGTATCCTCTGAGCTTCTCTCTATCCTTCTAGAATTAGTAAACCAAGATAGCATAAACACTATTCAGTACTTTAACACCCATTAGGTCTTTGAAAAATGCTACTTACATAACATTGATTCCCA